AAAAATATATTTATAAGAAATAATATTAAATGTTTGCCATTTGTCAACGCCTATTTCGATTCGTATAGAACATTGTTTCGACTCTTAATTGGGGCTAAACGAGTGTTTTTTTTTCGGGGCAGCACATAAAGTGTTTCGAGTGTTGAATGTGCTTTCAATTAGACAATCAAATTCTCATTAGTCAAGTGAGCGAAGTGGAACACTAATTGGAGCAATGGAGGAGTAGACAATTGAAATGAAATAAATGAATATTGAATATTATATAGTATATATTGATATAAATGTGATATGATCCATTATTGGACATATTGAGCACTTGATTTTGTTATCGATCGTAATTCAAATGGCGTAGAAAATAGCGTGACTCTTCGTGTATTACTTTTCTACTTTTCAAAATAGTCTATAGATTTTCAAATATTTCAAATTTTGTATTTATATTAGACCTTTTTTTGTAAGTTTTATACAGCTCCATAAACATTGTCATACAATTCCTAAGACGCTATCCATTTTACTAGAAACTTATAAATTGACTAAACATTTATAAACGATAGAATATAAAACTTCACAGGGTAAACATTTTTAAATTGTATAAATAGAAAAAACGATAAAAAAAAAATTTTTAAAAAGTTGTTCATACAAATTCTCTGGGTTTATGAGTAATAAACAAAATTTCATTGATTACACGTGGGTAGCATTAAATAACAACAGCTCAGGTATTATATCTCAAGCAAAATATCTATAAGGAACAGCTGATTTCATGCACAAACAACTGTCAGCTGAGCGTCAATTATAAAGTAAAGGGAAGCTAAAGATAGGCATATAAAACATAGCGCATAGATAATAAAGAATTGCACGCGTAATTAGAATAATAAATTAGAATAATATATTCCACTTACCGCCCAGATTTGCATTGATTTTAGGCGCTGCAGCTGCGCTGTAACGCCTACAATGCTGTTGTTGTTGTTGCTGCTGCTGCTGCTGCTGCTGTTGTTGGCGCCTTTGAAGTGTTTGAATAGACCGCCGATTGATGCTGACGTAGGCGTTGGCAGCGACCGCACGACGCGAGCAGCACAATGTCAACGATGTCATTGCAGCGAATATGGCAAAAACGAAACGAAAACGTTCTAAAGTGCTAAAAACAAATCAGGAATGGCAACAACAATACCAACGAGTCGAATACGCCGCCGTAACAACAACTAAACCCCAAAAGCACAAAACTAGTTGAGCGCTACGTAGAACGCAAAAAGAGAGACGCGTAAAGCAACAATAACAAGTCTATACAAATCAGCGAATACGTAACGAGACCAAAACAGCTGACGTCGGCGTCAACGCTAGCGTCTCTGCGAGCAGCTCTGCTACTAATGCTGCTGCTGCTTGTGTTGTTGCTCTCAAGTTTCGTTTTGCCTTTCGCCTTGCACTTTTTAGTTATTCTCTTAGCTGCGTCTGTTTCAGAACGTTTTTTAAGCGCGTCTTCTTCAGTCGTTTCGATTCCTCTTCGTCGTTGGGAGATTAAACGCGATTAGCGGCGAATTGCCCAAGCAAACGGAAAGCTTCGAATGATTTTAGCACGACAATTAACTACACAAATACTACGTAAAGTATAATTATTTACAAACGAATTATTAACAACTGCACGCAAGCAGCTAGTTTTACGTAATTACTACTACAACAAATAAATGTTAACAAAAATGTGCAACTTAACAACAACAAGAACAGCGACAACGACAACAGCAAATCAGTGTGAAAATGCGAATCTTTAGAGAGATTCTATTTGATTTATATTTGTGCGCCTCGTCGTGTTCCGTCGGAGCGCCAAGTTGAACTGCCGTGAACTGAGTTGGAGACGTTCTCGTCGACGTCGTCGCCTATCGCCCGTTTCCACACGGTGCCTCAAGCTCTGCCGCGATTAGCTCAATTGAATAAAAGTGAAATTTAAATTCATATACAAAGAAATCAGCTCGCGCCATGCGTAGAAATGCGTAGAAGCAGGCGAAAGAGCGGGAGAGTGCGAGAGAGACAGACCAAGTGGAGAGCGCAAGCAAAATTTGTGGCCTTGAGCACAGTTGAGAAGAGGCGTGTGCATTCACTAACAATTAACACTAAATATAATATATAAATTAGCTACGACAAGCAAAGGAAACATAAATACACTTATAGTTGATTGTAAAGTTAATTGCTTTAAGGTGAAGCACATTTCATTTGTTTACATTGCGCGTCCAGTGCTGTAAAAGGCGCGCTTAGCCAAGACACAAACCAGTATCGTAAGAGCTACCCGCCAAAAGTAAAGTTTGAAAGTTAAATCTTTTCAACAAATTTGTTGTTGTTGCTGTTGCTATTGTTGTTGTTGTTGCCGCTTTAGCTTAATATGGTAATTTGTATGCTTTGTGTGTTTCTCTGCCCAAGTGTGTGTATATGTTAATATGTATTTGTTTTCACCAGCTATGCGCAAAAATTATTATAATTTAAGTCACATTTCTATTTTAGTATTCAAGCAGCAACAGCAAATTTTGAACGGTATGTGAGTTGATTTTATTTATAATACCCTGTAACTTTGGAATAGGGTATAATGTCTAAAAATTCCATATTCTCCATTTATACCGTAGTAAAGCTTTTCAATATATTCAATTAAGTGTGTCTCAAACCATTCCAAACAAAATGTAAATATGGAAAGGTATTTCAATTAGTAGACACTCTGATGTCATTACAACACTCTGAAATTTTCATTAAGATATTGCATTCATAACCGAAGCTAATTTCCCTGAGTGGGAGAGATATAGGAAATGCAATTAAAACAGTTGCACAAAATGCGCAATAGATGGCGCTCTCTGACTCGCTGTCAATTAGAATCTAATTCGAATGGCATTTCTACCGTGCTTTCTCAACTGCTGGGTATATAGCAGTCGTACACTCCCCACCACATTCCTCGTTTATTTACTATTTAATTACTCAACTGGCAGCGATTACCGTTGTAGGAGATTCGCCTACGCGGGCAGCGTACAGGTGCGCGCTATCAATATTCGGCTAGCTTGATTCAATGGGCCATAGGGCCAAAGATTTTT